TTGCCTGTAAGGCTGTGCTTAAGTCTTGGAAAATATCCATTTCTTTTGACTTTGGATATGTTTCCTGTAGACAGAACTTAGAAGTATCTGCTTTGTGGGCCAAGTTCAGGGGGAACGTCCCAGGGCTCCACAGCACTGACCTTGAGAGGCACGGGTTTGGACAGGGCGTGGAACTAGAAACTCTGGATCCCTTTCCCCTCCAAACTTCTCCCATATAAAATACAGGATGCTGAGTTAAGTTTGAATTTCAGATGATCTCAGCTAGCAAGTAAATTCAATGTATTTGCTAATTGCAGCCACCCTTTTGGCCTTGTCTCTTCATATGCAAAATATGGAGAATAACGATACTGCCTTCCAGCCCTACTTAAAACTTAGCATATACATTTTACTTTATGTGGAAATCCTCTTTGGGTTACCTAAGGTTACACTCAAGTATTACAGCCAATATTCTGATTCCAGAGCCCCAACTTCCATACTGCCTCAGTCAAGATGCCGTCAATAGCTAAGAACCCCTAATGAATAAAGTAGCCAATAGTAATGTAAACATTACATTAAAAATATAAATATCAACACATTTGTCTTATGCTAATTTTTTATTAGTATACATCAGAAAGCACAATATCTACATCAGCCTTTATATGTATATTTAAGGCTGAAAATAAGACTCAGGGAAGTAAGCCCATTCCTTATAATTTTCCTAGCCTGCTTTTAAAGGCATTAATTCAAACACATTCCAGAACATCTGAACTTTTAAATCTGTCACTCTTTCAAAGGGAACTCCAGACAAATTAAGAATGCATGAAAGTGGAACTTCAGTATTTCATTTCTCCCCCATTGTCCTGTGCCTTCCTGTTGCTTTCCAGAGACTTCCAAATCTCTCTGCATGGCGCTCAAGGCTGAGATCTGGCAAACTCAAATTTGCAACCTCAGCCCCTCTGAACTCTCAGTTATGAACTCCACCCTAGAGCCCTTGTCATTCCTCAACTTTGATGTTCTTTCTGCTCCAGTATCTTTCTTGGCCTTATAGTTCCTCCGTCCTGGAAAGCATTTTCTCTATCTCAACCATGGGAAATCTTTATCTCCAGCGCAAACACCCAGTTCTTTTGTGACACAACCTTTCCTCTGGCCAACTGGCCCTTTGGCTGGTTTTTCTGTTATACCCCCAGCGACTTTGTCTCACTCGTCCCCCTGATGAAAACTGTTTCTTGTGGCCAGGAGCTTCTTTCTCTTATTCTTTTCCACATATGAGTTACTACCCAAAACTGTATCTTTCCCAGAGTAATTCCTTAATTATCTGCTGAACTACACTTAGTCCAGTAGCACTTATGAATGCTGCTCTCAGACCCGTAGTGCCATTGGTTGAAGTTTTCTGAATCCACCAAATAAGGCTAAGTGGCTTCGCATGCTTACCCATTATTCCCCTGTTGTTAAAAAAGTAATACAAATTCATCTTAGAGTACTTGTGACATAAAGACATACACAAAGGAAAAAGTATCATCCTTATGCCACCTTCCAAGGGCAGCTGCTGCTCTTTTTAAATACAGAAACACTGTGTTTTTCTCAGAAAAGCTCAACAGAGACAACATGGGAAGGTAGGTGAGGACATAGGGTGAACACAACTGGGTTTGAACCCCAAGTCCTGTGTTTAGGACTGTGTGACTCTCATGAGTCACTGCATCTGTTTAGGCCCAGCTTGTCCTCTCTGAAAAGTAAGAATAATGCTTGTTTATATTCCTGTGGGGGGGGAGGGGTCTTTGGAAGATCTAATTACAAAACGTTTGATAATATTTTGTAAACTAGAAAATAGTATGTGCCTGTCTATTAGCATGTTTAACTGTGCCCAAGATGAGTCTATGGACACATGGAGCAATGAGACTAAGTCCTAAGTAATAGTTCATATCGGATTTGTGCCTGGCTCTTTTTCTAGAGTTACAGATGACCTTCACTTCACTAAAGACAAAGGAATGAACTTTTATTGAGCACCATTGCATGTCAGATTCAGTGCTGTTTGCCTTATTCTGGTCTTCTCATGGTACCACGGAATACTCTACATATGAGAAAAGCTGAACTTCAGTGAGCAAAGCCAATAGTATTGAAAGATTAAAACTAAGGTGGATTGATTTTAAATGCCATATTCTTTTTATTTTTACTATAGTAAGAAAACTTTGGGGGAAAGTACTTTTGTGGAATTATTATCATGCAAATTTCTAGTGACTGAAGGGCAGGATTTGATTGGATACATGGATTATCCTGATACAGATTCTCTTAGAAAAGGTCAAAGAGGCTGTGATTGGTTCATCTAGTTGTGATCTAGTTGGGATGATCTATGACTATTTCTGAAGAGTAGACTAATGTAAAAGCCCTTTTCAAACCTATGAAAGGGAACAAATGATGGATATCAACCAAGTAAATTTTTCTTGTAATTTCTGTATCTTAAAATGTAATTTAGAAGTTTTCATGGCATGCCATCTTTAGACTTAAACTGGTGAGAGAAACTGGAACTTTTGTCTTGATAGAATGTTGGTTTTGAACAAAGTAGATTTCTCTTTTTAGAATTTAACAATAATCTTAGAGGTGAAAAACTGGACTTGATCAGGGATGAATTTTCAAGTAAATGGGAAGGAAAATACCATTGTTACAAATTCTGAAGCTGTGATTAAAATAAATGATATCGCAGCAAAGAGGATCTGAAATGATATTACAGTACAGAGACACATGAGGGTGCTCTTACCAGCTGCTATCATAAATGAATTAAACTGTTCAAATATTAGGGGAAAACGAAGGCCTATTGTGAATGGCAATGTTGAATTCACTTTGTAGTGTTGGCTAAACATAATCTTGGAAGAGATGTTTTCTCTCTTAAATAAATGTATTGGTCCCTTGACCCACATTTTAAAAAGTAGAAGATGTTCATATTGGACAATTTGGGAAACACTGAAAGGCTCACAAAAGAAGTGACATTGCCATTTGCTCTGGGAGGCTAGGATTTTCTAGAACTAGGCCAGTTGGAGGCTTAGTTCAGGAGGCCTGCCTTCAAACACAAGCCCAGCCTGTTCTCATTTTGATTCCACAGACCTTTGCTGGTAGGAAGGGGGAGTAGAGACTGGGGTCTAATGACCGCAAGAAGAGAATTAGAGACGCATGTTTATCTCAATACATTTACTCTCATTAAAGTTCATATTCACTGACATCATGCATCTCCTTGAAAAAGTCTGCCCACCCACCATTAATTAAAGCCACATTTTAAAAAGTCAGTGTGTGCACTTTTATTCCAATCAAAAGTAGCCTCCTAAGTTTTGCAGAGTAGGCAGGAGAATATCTGAGGCCTGACAGCTGTTCACCTCTATGCAGTGAAGAATCATGTGATTTATATTAAAAGTCATGTTAAATCAGGGCTTACAATATAATAGCTAAGATCTATTGTCTTGAGGAGGTGAAACATTTAAAACCTAATGGCCTATTAAGCAAAATTAACATTTATTTTGATAAGTCAACATTCTTTTGGTTACAGTGTATGACCATATGCCTTTACCTTTACAAATAGTTCCAGAGATATAGCTACACACCCTGCTTGAATAATTAGCAGCACAGTCCTATCAAAGACACCACACTTTATAACTTATACATGTGGTATCAATGTCAAAACAAAGGTCAATGTAAGTTTTTAAAATCTAAACCATTGCACAAACAGTAATTACCAATAGCTGTACGATTGCACAACCATAGTCTATATTCTTGGCAGTAGTCACTATAAGTTCATACATTCATGAAAATAAGGAATGTTGATTTTTAAAGTTCAAGAAAGGTACTATTTGTAAACAGCTCAGGTCACACTCATTTCATTCCATGTGTTAAGCAAGACTTTCCTTCCAACTTCCTTTAAATGAGATTTGTTCTTTCCATGAGCCTAATAAAAGGGTTTTTATCCAAACAGATCTGCATTCTTTTCAATTTTTTTTTCTATGAAAACCCTCCTGGGGACCTTTCAATTTTATGCTGATCTTTCTTTATATATTAACGTCAAGCACATTTTGATTTTGTGTTGATAAAAGACAAATTATGGTTATCTCTTCTCATTGGCAATGCTATTATTCTAGAGTGGTTCTGACCAAATATTTGATTAATGTATCAGTTTGTGTTTCTTACACAAAGAAAGAGATAATGCACACCATTCGGATTCTCTAGTTATTCTGGTCATGTCACCATGAAGAAAGAAAGGTACATCAATAGATCTGAACACTGGCTCTGAAAAGTTTTAATCCTGGGCCAAAGCACCCCTGGCTAGAAGTTGAAACCTGAGTTCTAGTACTGACTTTTCTACTGACTCTCCAGTAGTGACCTTGAGCACCCAAGGGTCTATTCCCTTATCTGACAAACGGGGGTTAGGAGGTGAATAATGACTGGATACCCACAGCCCAGGAAGTTAGTCAGGACTAGTGGTAAGGAGTCAGAGCATCCCTTTGGGGTATGCCTTTTCCTGGTCCACTTACTCATTCAGTCCCAGAAACAACAAGGTGGGGCTTTTATGAATGAGAGTTGGGTCTGTTTCTAAAAGGAACATCCCTGAATCTAGAGGTCAAGAAGCCATGCCTGGTGAGTTTCTTTCATGATGAGTTTGAGAGAAGATGCTCTGGGTCTTGATCTCCTCAGATACAAGCATTCAGTGTCCCATTGGTATGTGGGGTGAAGCACTATCCTCACCCACAGATTAAATTTTCTGTCTAGATGATACAGTATCCAGAGGGACCATAAGACACTGGACTCTACACAATGCCAAAAGCAATGAGAGGATCCAGCTCAGTGGTGGGAAGGAAAGTAGAGTGCGGGTGGAGACATTTCAACCCTGGTATTCTTTAGAATATACAGCTGGGGGTGGGGGGGTAGTGGGAAGTTGGGATTGTGCAGCATTTTACCAATGCTAGGAAAGCTTAAGATAAGTTTGGTTTACATGATTTATAAGGTCATGCAGTCTATAAAATGAGCCCCATTGCCGTCCATACCTTCCTGCCGGCTCTGTTGTTGTGAAGGTTCATCAGGGCTCTGGCATCCTTTCCTTTCCTTTCCTTGGCATCCACAAATGCTCGGGCAAATTTGATCCCATAGTCAATGTTATCACTGCAGCCACCCCAGTCGAAATTGCCCTTGCTGTCCTTGGCAGTTCCCTTCTTCTTTGGATCACAGGAACAGGATTTTAATTCTCCTTGGCTACAGGCCCTGGTGATGGCAAACACAACTCCCGCTGAGGAGACGGCATAAACAAAGGCAGATTCCCGACTACCTGAAACAGAAATGCTTTTCTTAAACATGATCTGTAATCGCTAGTTCTGAATAACTTTCACACTATGGCTGTTTACCATTTGCTCCACCTCTGGCATAGTTTGCCCGGGGCAAGAAGGTACTGGTGTTCTTGAAGGATTCTCTTCTGAGAGAGCCAGGTCTCACTTTTGACTATGAATTGTTTCCATATAAAAAACCCTTTTGTCAGTTTAGGTATCTGTGTGACAAACATCCTTCAAGTAAATTAAGTGTATGAAAGAAAATGCAGCAAAAGCCTGCCCTGCCCACTCCTGGCTTTACATTAGCTTCAAGTCCTAGAAGAGAGGATCTGGACCTCTCTAGGCCTTCATTTCATTGTAACAGAGCCTCGGATTCTATCATTCCACAAAACAGCTTGGTATTCACGCTACTGCATCTCTCCTTGAAAAACCCTTCCAAATTTGCAGGCCTTAGTGAGGACACTCCTGTCATATGAAGCATACAGACTGAAATTCAAAGAAACCTAGGGGCTGAGGTGGGAAGAGAATTCAGGCAGTAACCAACTCTGTGTGTTAACACTGCGAAGCTTTGGCTCGGCATCAACTTTCACGAGTAATTGAGAGATTGTTGAAGGCAATATGCAATATCCTTGAGTTACATACTGTGTCTAACTATTAAGGTGAATTTACTTTCTTCTGGAACACCTGCACTAATCACCGGTATTGGGTAAAAGACAGTGAAAAGCTTTTCTTTGGTTTTTGTGGAAGGAAACAAATTTACCGCTTATAATTAGACTTGGACAAGAACCCTTTGGGGTGTTTTCTTAGAATTGTTCTTTATTAGAGCACAGGCTACTTTCCCTTACAAGGCTGAAAGGTACATATTTCAGTGCAATAACTACATTAAATTATTTTAATAATCTGTAGTAACTCATAACACGGTGTTGTGGTATAGTGACAGATATAAGGCTCTTTAGGGTCCGTGTGCACCTCATTTTTCAAGTGGAGCTGTATTTCATTGTTATTAGCATGCCTCTTTATTAATGGGTGCTGCAGCAAATATATTAACAATCAAAATAGCAGCTCTATAGCCTAATGCCAACGCAAGGCAGAAAACCGAGAGCCAGTCAGTGACTCCAAGTGTCAAGACGAGTGTGACTTTTTGAACCACACAGCTGGGAGAACAAACCACCTTTTCGCATTGAAGCCCTGCTTGTTTCCGTTTGTCATTCGCCGCTAAAATTTATTATACGTCCCTTGTAATATTTGCTCTGCTAGTCTCATTATTAAAAATCAGGAAAACATATCTACATCATATTAAGTGGCACTTACCTCAGCCTTCAAAAAATATCTCCCCTGAAACCTCTAACCATCAAAAAAGGAATCAATCATGCCCCATATATAGGTAAAATCAATTATATGAATATTTGCCATAGGTAGCAGGTAGCACTCTCCAGAGAGAAACGTGATGGTCATAGTGCTGTTTTAAAGAGTCCCGGGTTCTATTATAAGGATCACAGATTTTCTAAGGGAACTGAGGTGTTTTGTAAAAGAAAGTGATTAATAGATACTAATGTGGCTTAATCTCAGGTAGTGGCTCTCAGGTAAATAAAAATTTTATTACACCCATTTTATAGTTTAGGAAAATGCCTTGTTCAGGGTTACCCACTTGGTCTGCTAAAGCCTGGTTTTGTATCTGGAGTCCAGTGCCTACATTTAGATATATCACAGAGGGGGAAAATTCCAAATGCTTAATGTATTTAGCACTAGTTTTTATTGTTTAAGGAGAAAGAAGAGCAATTTTATGAGGTGGTCTTTTAGGGGAAAGGTATGGAAGACGTGGATGATAGGGTGTCAGTGGCCAGATGGTATTTTGAAAGCAGTAAAGGAATAAATTGCCTAGGTGCAGAATTCATCCTGGCATAACTTGCAAACAATTACATTGACTTGTTGCTGAAAGAAGAAAAATCACTTAAAATCTGCCGTGTTTCAGAAGTAATTTTCCAAAGTAAAAATATCACCTTTCTAAATATTTGTCATTCATTATTTAAACACATTACTAAATAACTAGATGTCTATTCTGTATATTTAAACACAGAACTTAACACATTGACTTTTCATTTTACCTCCAGATGTTTTGGTATCATGTATATATGCCCTTAAGATGTTTTCAGTTAAATGTCTTAGATGCATCACTAAACTGCTATGTGTGAAATAGTAGCACATTTCAAGAGTTGGCATTGTAACAAAACACATTTTGATCTTGGGCCTCTTCTTAGAAAAATGGATTCTTTTTAAAGCCATCCCAACATGAATTAAAATCCAAATCTAAATGGTGGTATGTAAATTCCTGATGTGGTTGAAGTTTCTCTAATTTTGGGGGTGAGATAAGTCAAGAAATGGCTATCTAGTGCATAGGCATCATTTTTATTTGGGGCAGGATTTGGGGAGGGCAAAACATTAGCAGCTACACTTTCTGGAAGGTGATGGAAGGTGATGGGTCATTCAGCTCTCTCATCAAATGCTTGTCTTTTTTTGTACATTTACAAGGATGAGACCTAATCACCTTTTTGTTTTTTTAAGGCTATTCTAGACTTCTAGAGGCATATTCTTACAGGAATATTTTTAGGTTTACTAGTTTGGTCTTTAAGTTTCTCTGCCTATGGCTGGTGACAGTCTGTAGAATGAGTGAATTACAAATGTTCCTAAAAATTCTTCTGTCATCTTCTAGCTCCTTGAAACAAAAGAGGCAAACAAATATTTTCCTTTTTTCCATGACCATGGGACATGTTAGTAACTTTTACGTTCTCCCTATCAGTGGTGTGGGTCTTTCCTATTTATCTATCAGGATATTTAGGTTCCAAAAGAGAGTTCTTCACAACTTAAGATGTGAATTTCCCTCCAAGCAATTAATTGTAAAAATCTTTGGATAGCTTCGTTGGAATTTCTTGATTATTTCCAGGATAAACTACTTTAGGCCAAATTCAGCCCTCCCATAACCAACACAAAATCATCACTGACAGTCATCGGAGTTTATATAAATGTCCAGGAAGAAATCTGGCCTTCTGTGAAGAATGGAAAGAAATTGTGTAGCATGAGTGTTTTAAGTTTTGAGTACTTTGGCAAAGCACTCAGCTTCATATGAAAGATTCCTGAAGGAAACACAGCTTAGATTCTCTTATTTACCTGAGGCCTGAGACTAATTTGGACTATAGCCCCTTCCTCCAGCTCTAACCTCTTCCCTCTCAGTAACCCTACAGCCAGGATTAAAGGATTTTACAAATGAATTCCCAGCTTTCCTAGAGACAGGCTATCTTTAGGATCAGTGGGCAAAACTGCTTCTTTTGATTTGTGACCTAAAGGTTTTTATTCAGTATGGAGACATCTGAATGGATTTTTGCAGACAGAATTTGGAGGTGAACATTTTGTAAATGAGAAGTACATTTAATTTGTAGTGACTGAAAAATGATTGTGAGCACTTTGGCAAGGAAAGTCCTGATACAGCGTAAACACTGAGAGCCTGTACACAATATGCCCGAAGATCATTTGTGCTAGATACTTGTAAACTCCCTTTGACAAGGTCCAGCACTTTAATTGATTCACTGGTGAGCTAATCTAGGTGAAGTCTTAAAATTCCACGCAGCTGAAATTGACTATTAACCTTTCAAAAATTTGCGATGTCATATTGAAACTCCAAAAGGAATGCAGAAGAATATAGTTTTTAAACTAGAGAATAAAATCACAGAATATTGCAGTAAATTAAGTTTAGGGATACACTGAGTGAGAGTACTACGCCCTTGGGGGATTTTAGAGACATTCAGTTATGCATTTGGCCTCATAAAACCCTAGGGCTGTGATGATTACATGATAGAAACACCCTCTGTTAAGCATTACCAAGTGTACAGCCTGGATGATTTTCTTAGGAATGGGGGGGGGGGGTGGCAAAACAAGTGTAGTTTCCCGTTTCTGGGGTTCACACATAAACTGTTGTGTTTTCAGTTGGATTTCCAATAGCAATTGGGCCATGCTTCTTGAAGAACACTAATAATGTCAGGTTAGGGGATGGGTATTTTTGGGTACCTGAAATCTGAATTTCAGTTAGTTTGCTTTGATTGTATACTAGCTACTTCCCATATTCAGAACTTCTAAGGAATTTGTTATGTAATTAGATAGTGTTTGATCTTCCTTCTAAGTAAAACAGAAACAAAAACAAACCTGTATGCTTGAAAACTATGCATTCTTGTTTCTCATTTCTGTCCTCCTATTCTGCCTAAAATGTGCCTGAAAAACAACAGGTGCTCACAATGAGTTCATCCATTCATTCAACCATTCGATGAATGAATGGTGCCTGTAATACACAAGGCACCAAGCAAGTGTAGGGAACAGAGGCTAGAATACACAATCTACTAGGAAAAGTGTTGAATTTAGACACAGAGTGACTCAAAGCTGAGTAGCTGAATGGGAGGTGAAAGGTGGTGAGCAGAGATTTGTCTCTGCTTCTTAATAAACACATGGATTGTTTTTTTTTTTTTTGAAATATTTTTTGGTTGAAAAAAATGTTGAGTATTCTACCCTGATCTGCTCAAATCCTCTAGAAAGTTCAAGTCCCAGAAAGAATAAAAAAGTCAAGGGAGGGGTACCTGGATGGCTCAGTTGGTTAAATGACTGCCTTCAGCTCATGTCATGATCTCACAGTTTGTGAGTTCAAGCTCTACATGGACTCTCTGCAGTCTGCTCAGAGCCCACTTCAGATCCTCTGTCCCCTACCTCCTCTCTGCCCCTGCCCCCTCTCTCAAAAATAAATAAAAACTTAAAGAAAATTGTTAAAACAACAACAACAACAACAAAAAGTCAAGAGAGGTCTATGGCTTCTTCCTCCTTTCTCCTGGAGACAAAATCGGATCCTGGAGGGACAGGCAGGGTTGTGACACGATCTGGATGGACAGAGCAAAGAGCAAACAGACACCAGCCTGCAGCACTAGCTCCTAACCTATGACTGGCCTCCAAAGCTTGAGGGAAGTTCCTTGATTTCTTAGTCCTCATCTACAAAACATGGACCAACTAGAACAAACTTCTAACTAATTAAATGCAAGAAAAGACGGGCAGGGACTTTGAAGACCAAGGAAGGCACTTGTGTTGCGGGCACAGCCCACGGAGCTGCACGCAGGCAGGGGACTTACTTCGGAGCAGGACCCTGCCGAAAAGGCTGTGGTCCCTGTCCAGGGTGTTGCAGTTCCATCGGTGCTGGCGGAACTGGTGTTGACACTCTGCAGTCCACTCGGCCACACCCAGGCCGATGGCACGCATCACGTCCGGGTGCCGGTGGCACAGCTGCCGCTGGCGGCTTACCAGGCCTGGCACATTGTCACACATCACCCTGGAGGAGCCGCCTGTAGCTCTCATGTACCTGAAAAGGACCAACACAGAGATGAAAACACCATAAACAGCGAGGGCTGGTGCCATGTCTCCCAGGAGACTAAAGAGTTCAAAGCATGGTTCGAATATGAATTCCTTATCCT